TAAAAAAATTTGTTGTTTTAAATATGGGAGAATTACACTCAGATCCCCTGAAATTTGTCACTTAATCATTCAGACCCCCTGATATTTGAAATATTACATACAGACTCCCTGAAGTTTGTACGCGCGTGACACTTAGACCTTGCTATAAATATATATGCTAATAAATTACACCCAGACTATTTGAAGTTTATAAACTATATTACTTAAACCCCTTAGGTTTAAAATGTTATATTTATACTAAAAATACTTCAATAAAAGATAAAATATTAAATTTTTTATTTTTTATAATTAAAATTCATGTTCTATTGTATCATTTATTGAAATAAAATCAAAAATAAAAATAAAAATTTTTTCTTAAAAAATTGTAATTAGTATACAATTATATTATGTATTGAAATTTAATTTGGTTATTTAAAAGACCAAATTAAAATACCAAACTAGCCCAATTAAAACTAAAAAATATTGTGTTAATTTGATCCCTTGTTTAATTTTTATTTTTATTCTAATAGATAGTATAATTATATACTAATTATGATTTTTTTAAAAAATAATTAGATTTTTATTTTTAATTTTATTTCAATAAATGACATAATAGAACATAAATTTTGGATGTAAAATTTATGTTCTATTATGAACGACTTAGACCCCTTGTTTAATTTTTCAGTTTTAGTCCAGAAGATAGTATAATTGTATACGAATTACGATTTTTAAAAAAAAAAATTAAGTTTTTATTTTTTAATTTTATTTCTATAAATGATACAATATAACATAAATTTTGGTAGTAAAATTTAAAATATTTGATATTTTATCTTTAATTAGAATATTTTTAGTTTAAGTATAATATTTTAAACTTAAGGGGTCTAAATATTATATACTTATAAACTTCAGGGGCTCTAAGTATAATTTATTAACGGATATATTTACAAAAGGAGTCTAAGTGTTACGCGCGTACTAACCTTAAGGGGTCTATGTGTAATATTTTAAATATCAGGGGGTTTAAATAATTAAGTGATAAATCTCAGGAGATTTGTGTATAATTCTGCCTTTAAATATTTATATTACATGAATAGCGCTTGGTTTTGATTTTTGTGTTTTACAGTGCCTTCAGACACGGATTATTACTATTATGATGCTATAAATGTTTGATTTTTTTGAAATGCATGATGTCCTCAGGCACGGGTGATCATTTCTTCGTGTTACATTCGGTCTTTAACATTCTTTCGAACAACTTAAGTGAAAACATTCTGACCCACTTTATTTCACCACAGTCAAGATATTAAAAATGTAGTTTAGACTTTCAGTTTAATAAATGTCTATGTTCAGTGTTCGATAGTTTCATGTTTAAGAATAAGTTTAATTTTTTTTTTAATTGGACAATGTTTTTCAAGCACAGGTTATAGAGGCAGTTTAGATTTTCAGTTTAGTACACGTCTAAATTCAATTTTTAATTATTTCGTGTTCAAATTTAGTACTCAATTTTTTATTTTTTTATTTTTTGCATTGTATCATGCCTAAAGGCACGGCCTATCCTAATAAGTATATACTGAGCATATCTACATCCTATTTTTTAGATTTTATAGTATCCCAGACCTTTCTCGTACTCGTATCTCTGTTTCCTAGACTATAATTGTCTTTTACATTGCCATTTTGCAGATCCTGAATCATCAATTTGCACTATTAGCAAACCTAAATTCCATAAATAGAGAGTTTCAACCTTGAACCTTTACTTACAGAGTTACAGATACTCTCTCTCTCTCTCTCTCTATATATATATATATATATATATCTGTGTGTGTTTGTGTTGTTCCAACTTTTGTACACTTTTTCTTTCTTTCTCTTGCTCTCTCTGATTTCCTTTAATTTCTCCGCTAATTGCGTGCTTGTGTTGAAAAGTTGGTAGGATTTCCACAAGCAAGTGATGAGAAAGACTTGTTTCCAATTTAGTAAACCCCTCTGGTCTACGTCCCTCTAAACACTAAACACGGAGGGAATAAACGTGATATCATTAATTAATAATAAAATTTTAAATAAATAAAATGATCTTCACTTTTTTTTTTTATTTATTTATTTTAATGATCTTCACTTAAATAGTTATTGATAATTATCTGTTTATGTGTACAGACAGTTACTGGCTTATGTTATATCTACTTCCTTATTTTTTTTGTATATTATTAACGGGTAATACATCATTAAATTCGAATAAGATGACCTAAGAGAGAGTCTGTACACGGCAGCTTCTTCAAGTCTGCCTATCAACCATATGAAAAAAAAGCCTCAATGAAAAAAAATAAAATAAATATATATATATATATATATATATATATATATATATATATATATATACATACACATACGCCATGTATATGCATAATATATGCGTAACAAATACATCATTAAATTCGAATCCAGGTGTGAAGGGGGCCTGAGACAAAATAGAAGGGGTGGACCAGCTTCTACAGGGAATGTCTCAAGTGAGAGAGAGAGAGAGAGGTGAAGGCAAGAGAATTTTGAAACCAGTAAACAAGTTTATCCCTTTTCTTTGGTGCAAAAAAAATTATCACTTTTAGAATATTATCTTAACAGTAGTTTTAAAACCCGGCCCGGACGTCAACCCGAAAAAGGGACTGGGTTAGTGAGTCACTGGTCAAATCGGTAATAAAATAAAAAAATAACTAAATATTATTATTAATAATAAATATGCTTAAAATCACAAAAATTATAAAAATTGTATGCTTAATATATTTTAGATCAAACAAAAATCTCAAAATCACCAAATAAATTCTCAATTAAATAGATAAATCAGTAACAATTAAGTCAAAACTCATGCTCAATTAGGCCGTAAGATTTCACCTCCACCTAACTCTTAATCAAACATATTAAAACTCTAATTTCATATGCCATATGCCAAAATCCAGTTAATCCCAATTTCATATGCCATACGCCAAAACCTAATTTCATATGTCAAATAGATAAATTGGTAACAATTACGCCAAAACTCATTCCTTTAATTTCATATGCAATATCAAGTATCATCAACTAATTTACCAAGTTAATCTACAATACAGTCAATACTAAAAATAGCAGAGAAATTACCAAGAAAGAGATGTACCTGTTGAGAGGGATGTACAATTATGGGAGTCCCAAGCTGGTGGGTCATTCACTATAACCAGAGACACATCGAGTGAGTTGCTGGGCAGAGGCACTAAGATTACCCTCTACTGAAGACCAGCTTGAATACCTTGAAGAGCGCAGGCTCAATGATCTGATTATGAAAAAATTCTGAGTTCATCAGCTACCCAAGGCTCAAGGCTTTGAGTGTTCCACCGCCTCAACATCAACAACGATTCTCGCCTCGAACTCGAAGGTCTCATCAAGATGGTAGATTAGACAAGATCGACTGTCTTAGATAAGAGAGAGAGAGAGGCGCATAACAGAAGACAGGAGATGGGTGGTGGCTGGGTGCAAAACGATTAGGGCAAAAAATGCCCAAATAACTTCAAAACCTAGTATTGATAGTATTTAAAGCAACTCATCCAGTTTGCTTTAAACTGTTCGGTTCAGCGGGTTTTGTCCGGTTTCTTTGCTCAAATGATCCAATAACTAAACTGGCCCGGCTCAGGCTCCGATTGAGTCAATCCGTCGGGCCAGGCCGGGTTTCAAAACACTGCTTAACAGTTATCTTAACAGATATCAACGAAAATGAGTTATGTGTCACACGTGTACAAACGTTATGAGATGTATGAGTAATATTCTAAATGTGAAGGGGTTCAAATGATTAAGTGACAAGTATGAGAGGATCTAGGTATAATTTATCAATTTAATTTTAGGTGCACATTGATACAAATTTCTATCTTTGAGGGTACAAATTAAAATTTTTGATATTTGGGGGTGCACATTGATACAAATTTCTATCTTTGAGAGTATAAATTAAAATTTTTTATCTTTAAGGGTACAAATTGAGATTCGAACGATCTTTCAGGGTGCAATTTACGATTAATCCTAAAAAATATTACTGTTACAGGAAGCTTGGACTCACTTTCCTCTGTCCGTTTTGGTCGTTGTTTTGGTCATTTTTTTCCTAAATGAGGATTCTTTAAAGTTGGCCGTAAATGATAGGGTGATACGTTTGTTTAAAAGAATGTACAATAAAAAAGACTTTTTTCTGACCAACTTAAGCATAAATGCGAGGTCAGTGGTTGACTTGGTTTTTCCCTTCTTCTTTCAATTCTATGAGGTATTTAAGATAAGGAAAACGTTATATAATTTAAATAAAATTTAAAAATTTAAATTTAAATGCATATCATTCATTGATGAATGTGGGATGAGTGACCCATTGAAAAACTTGATGAGACCCATTTATATAAAGGATAATATATATTTGAGTTGTAATTTTTTAAATATCATTTAAATTTTGTAACATTGATGTTATGATAATAGGATATTTCTCGACAACTAATGCGTTAGAAATTGGAATAATCATGAAAAAGTGAAGTACAATAAGCTAGAGCTTATTGATGATGACAATACTTAGTTGTCAAATAGTAGAAGCAGCTTTGATCTCGGAAAATATAAATATATCTACTTTTTTTTTTCCTGGGATACATAATAAATAATATAAGGATACTATGAATGCCATTCTTTTATATTATTTCATCTATTGCCAAAGGCTGATTATGCAACTAAGAGAGGCCCTTATCATTATTTTTTTAGTTTAACACGTAGGTATGTTTGAATTAACTTATAATCATTTCAACTAATCTATTTCTCAATTCGTTCAAATGCAGGTTATCCACACCAAAATTAGGGTACCTCGTGACCTTGACTTATATATATATAAAGAGAGAGAGAGAGAGAGAGGACACACTTGCAAACCAAATAGTATTACTCAATATTATATGACCAATTGCTAACATTGCATTGGGAAAACAACTACGTAATCTCTCCTTATTTTTCAGACAATATGGATAATAGAAACTTAATGCATATGCATGACATGGCCACTAATACTGAGTACAATCTGCTGGAGCGAAAGAGACTTGCTTTTTTGCAAGGTCGTAGCCCACTTGGAAGTTAATCTGAGCAACGTTACCAAAGATATTGAGACCATTTGAAGGGATGATTGCCAAGCAAGTAATACCATCCAAAACTACGAAGGTATTAATTGTCTTCAAAGTAATGTCAGCTCCAGTAAATTGGAATATTATTGGTGTCTCAGGAGCCGTACTGAAGGAAGTTGAATCATAACACAATCTGTAGTTTCCCCGTGGATCTTGTACTGTACTGCTTAGACTAATGCTTTCTTTCACCGCAGCTTCAAGTTCATTGTAAAAATTTGACTCCAAAATAGTCAATGTTGTTCCTGAATCAATAATTATATTACCCTCCCTCTGACTGTATGGTATCCTGTTGCTCCCTATGCTTACGGCTTGAAGGGTGAGAGAGTAGAAAGTGTTTGAACTCGAGTCCCGTGGCTGTGATATAGGAGTTGAAACAACTTCACCAGATATAATTGCGTCTTTGCCAAATTTCAATTTACTGGCGGAGTTCGCTGTCCTTGGCAACAAACAGTAGGAGAATTTCTGCTCAATTTCAGCACTCAATTGAGAAATCAGCGACAGGGGTCCGCCCCCGAGCCCGACAAGTCCGGAGCCACGGCTAGTGAAAGTTCCAGCATTGTCGTGTCCACATCCAAATACAGAATTTGGAAATGCAGTGGCCTGAGCATTCGTGGAATCAAATGTGAAAGTATCTGTGGATAGGACTCCAACGGTATATGATCTGTCTCCATAATCATATCTGTATTGGCATTCATTATTTGTGTTGCCACACTGAGATAATGGTAGAGCTTGACAAGGACTTGAGTCACAGGGAAGATCCATGTAAGTAGAAGACTTCACCGGATCAAAGATGGGACTATCTTGAGGATAGCAATTGTCACAAGGTGCGCACTGGATCCACACAAGATCACTTCCTGTGTCAGCAGTGGCTAGGCTTTCAACTGGTGGGTTGCCAATAGAAATTCTCATGAGATAGCCACCACCATTTGGAATTGTCAGAGACTCAATTTTTTCTCCATCAACAGATGATGGACGAAAGTGGTTGATTCGGGCAATGGATCGCAAAGCATCATAGCTTGACAACTCTCCAGGAGTGGCAGAATGATTATAGAACGGAGATAGTTGGGAGTCGTGATGAATTAGTTCAAGGCTGAAGCCACTGATTTTAGCTTCAACAACGTATGACATAGGCTGATGAGAGAAAATTAGTATCATTAGACCAAGGAAATAATCCATGGCTACCATTATATGGGTTCGGAAGAGGGAAAGAAAGAAGGATGGCTGCAATATGTTTTTTGTGTCGCTATTTATAGAAGGAGATTTTGGAAGAAAGTTAAAAAGACCAACAACTAAATAGTTTATGGTTACTTTTCGGATTGAATGAAAACGAGAAAGCGTTCATATTAAAAATAACGCTGCTATAAGTTTAATTTGGGAATACAATTAGGGGCCTAATACACTTTCAGTATTTGATTAACAGTACAAATACTAAGTACCTTCGTGTATTAAGAAGCTGTTATCAAGTGTTTTTCTTGTCAATAAACTCGGCCAAACTAAGTTGATCACCCATGAGTGTCCCAATTAATTAGTCAGGGATCAATTTATAATAGAGATAAGTATTGATCTCTACAGTATCATTCTTTGAAGCTCTATTCAGTTCTTTTTTTAGCGATTCATTTATAATTCATTCTTATAGGGATATAGTAAACCTGTAAGGATAATCGAATGTTGCATATAAAAAAAAGTGTTTGTCTAATGTTCCTGTTTGGTATGATAAAAAAATGGAGAAGAGGGTTAAATAAAACATCATGTTTGGTAAGGAATGAAAATATAAAAAAATAGAAAATTGGATAAATTAACTTTTCTTCTAACTTACTAAAATCAATCCCTCCAAAATCGGAAAGAAAGTTGATGAAAAGTTAATTATTTGTATTGAAATGTATCTTATTTATCTATATATTATATATACATTAATTTCATATAAAAATATAATAATAAAAATATATATTTATATATATATATATATATATAAATAAATATATTAATAAAAAAAATTAAAATTAAAATTAATTTTTTTTTTCTTCACTAGGGTAAAAATTTTTAACTCAACACGATGATACGACTCGAATTCAACACGAATTTTATGACATGAATTTGATTATAACTCAACACGAACTTGAAAATGATTTGACACGCGAATAAGAAATATAAAAAACTTCTAATTTTATGACTCAACAAGAATCTGACACGACACGATTTTGTTGTCACTCTAATTTTAGCTAACACAAAAAAAATTAGACATTTTTATTTTTTATCCATCCAACCAAATACAAAGGAAAAAAAGTTTCATTTCTAGTTTTCATCTTCGAATGATAGAAAGTGTATTTCTCCTACTTTTCATCTTTCTATTTTCTATCCTTCTACCAATCGGAGCATAAGTGTTTGTCTTGTCTTGTCAATGATGGCATGAGAAATTAATTAGGAAAATAAAATTTATAAATTGTCTCACTCTCCTGAATTATGCAAAAAAATAATGGATAAATTTTTTGTCTGTTCGGGAGTGAATTTTTATTGTTTTTGTGTGTGTAGTCCAATGTGAAAACAGGCTTGCTTTTTTGAAATTTCTAGCAAAAGTCTTTATTAGACTGAAAAGAGAAAACATCTTTGCGTTTGTCCCATTCACATCACCTTTGAACTGTTTCTAGAAGGTTGATTCAAAGAAAAATTCTACTTTGCGTCAATCAAGTTCATGTTTAACGAGTTTTTATTTATTTTTTTTTTTTTCTGGCGTTGTGACCATTTGATTGTTCCTGTACATGAATATTTGATATATGATATCTTCTTCCTTTGAACATATTTTGGATAGTGTCATTAGCGTAAAATTAGTTTAAACTCACTTGAATTGTAAAATTAGCGTATACCTCGATTTAGTTATTTTAATCTCGATTTGTTTCAAATATATAAATATTAAAGACACTCGTACAATGGACAAGATTTATTACCTATTCCTCACCTACTCCCCTTTTCCAAATCCGTCACTTTGAAATTGGAATCGAGAGTGACATTAAATTACATGGTGATGCAAATAATTTTTTTTTTTTTTTTTTATAAAAATCAAGCAATTGGTAGTTAATTTTGGAGTGGAGGGGGTGGTTACATAGGATGAGGTAGAATGATGAGAAGGAAAGACTCCTAAAACCTTCTTTCTCAAAATTTGATTCTTGTAACATGTAGATTTTGGTGATAAAAAAAAATAATAAAATAATACTCTCAACTAAATAGATTGAATGTTTCGGAAATTATTTAATGTGTGGTTTTTGAATTTACTCCGGTTTATGCTTGAATTCGAGCACATAGTACAGAAATAATTAACACCTTGAGATATTATCAAGTTAGCAATTTGAGCCTGAATATACCAAAATTCGATAGACTCAATTTGATTAACACTATAATTTTAGAAGGCACGTCATTTTTAGCACCCATTGATTCTTTTTCTTTTTTCTTTTTTCCCTTCCAAACCTAACCGTGTTCATATTGGTAGAATGTAGAAAGAGTTGGGAATGGTCGGAAGTTTTTGGATCAAAAAATGGTTCATATAAATCTATTAATGGATCGAATTTTGACTCAAACCTTATTAGTCAAATATCGATTGGTACGCATATTTATTTAATTAGATGAATCTAAATTCGTGAAATATCATATATACCAACGTTCGATTAATTTCTACTAGAATCTAATTTTGAACTGTTCCGAACAAGTTAGAATTAAGATATAATTTGCTAAAATTTAGGTTTAATTAGTTAAATTGGATTGGATTTGATCGGATACTGGGGTAGGTTTTAGGATTCAATTTTTAAAATTTATCGAATTCTAGTATGGATTGAAAAATAAAATTCGTCCAATTTTTGGGTGAAAGTTTTCTTATTAAATTTGAACCCTGGCTCACCAAAATTTGATTCAAATTTAATCTGTTTGGTGGCCCAAAGCGATGCGTGTTTCATTGTTTTCCACAAACATTGGACCACTTTGCTAATAAGTTAAAAAATAGCTGTCATTGACTTATTGAGAAGACCTTGACTATGGAATACCACGTCTTTGTGGTTGTTGTCAAGACTATGGTGGAATACCACGTTTTGCTGTGCTTATGAGTGAAATTTTCTCACAAAATGGTAGTATCCAAATATAAAAACAAACTCATCACAAAAGTCTCAACTATGAGAGTTTAATAGAAAGAAATAAAAAATTAATTCTAAATTCTATTTTAAAGAGATCGTTTTTGGAATATGAACCCAATACATGTTATTTCAGTATGATGATAAAAAATTCTAGTACATGACAATAATACTACTACTATAACGAATAAGCAAAAGAAAGACAAATTCTGTAAAAGGTGCAAAAGGATGAACAAAGTATTCCAGACAGAACAACCCTGACACCAGTGTTCCTAGTAACCTTATCATGCAAGGCTGGTGCTTGGGAGCTTCCAACTTGAACTAGTCTCTGTTCCTAGTTCAGTTTTTAAGTCTTTTTTGGCTAGAAAAAGGTAATTTCGTCAAAATAAAAAAAGAATATTTATTTACTCTACTACAAAAAATATTTAAATTTATCTTTTTATAAACAATTATATTATATAAAGCACACTACTTTCCATGGGGAATAGAAAAATTGGTGGCAAGCTAAGAAACACGGATACGAAAATGGGATACGGGTATGATACGATATAGATACGGCGATACGACAAAATCTAAAAAAGAAGGATATATGTACGATCAAGATACGACTATAATAAAATATTTTTATTATTTTCAATTATTATAGTACTTATATATTTTCTTAATTCTTTAACACAATAAAGAAAATTTATAATTTCTTTTTAATTTGAAGAAAATATATATTGCATCACTATGGTATATTCACCGAGTCAGTTTATTTAGAAGTAATTTTTGCTAAAATTATAATGTAATAGATTTATTTTATGCTCTTTTAACATGTAATTTTAGATAATATTTAAAAAATACTCATATACCTTTGAAATAATATGAATTTTTGTAAATGTATTGTATGATATGTGAATTCAAAAAGAAATGTTAAAAATTCAACTCAAAAATTATATATATTACTTGAACACAAAAGTATCCATGAAGTATGCTAATATTTAATTATTATCGGATACTTAAGAAGTGTATTCGATACGTATCATCGAATATCCGACAAGTATCGTATCCGATACGAATACGTTGACCCCAACGAAATATCCGTACTTCATAGGTGGCAAGTGTTCGGTTCTATTGGCCATAATCTTTGAACTCCACCAGAAGGAAAAAAATTCCATGATTTTGTTTTGGGAAAGATGATTTGGATGTTACAAAGACTTAGGGTCAAGTATATGTCGTATGGAGAGTGGGAAGGTGGCACAGTTGTCCAGCCCCCTCAAAATTCTGAATTGATCACCCTCTTACACTGGCTTACAAAGTATGGGAAGGTGATATATGCTAGTGGCCGAAACTCAAAAGAGGTAGTAAACATGAAAGATCACCTTGTTGAAGATGATATAAAAATTATAATAAGTGTTTGAAGCTTGAAATCTTGCATGAAAAATTTATCAACCATGTGGAAGTCACCTCCGTGTACGAAGCGAAGACTGGTACAAGCTAGGAAACTCTACTTAGTTAAACTAGTGGTCGAAAGAGGAAATAAGTGATGGGGATGAATGATAATCAGTGCACAGGACATAAAATTCTAGATAAAAAAAAGCATACATCACCAATATGAATGCGAAATACTAGTATGAAATCGAAGTTTGTTAAAATTAAGAAGCTATGATTGGTTAAACTTGTGGTCAAAGTATGAAAGAGACGACACTTACGAAAGAATCATCATGTAACAAAGAATACAAACTGATAGTTAGTGTGGGGCAAATGCATATACTACCTTTATCAATGTAACACACAAATACAAAGGTACAGTTAGCCAAAGTTAAGAAGCTCTGCTTGGCTACACTAGTTGCCAAAGCAAGAAAAAGGTGATATAGGAAGAACCATCATGATGCACATGATAGGAATAGCATAATTAGTGCATGACCATGAAAAGCATATATCATCCATTGGAATATGGTACCCAAATATAAAGTTTAGGTTAGTAAAAATTAGGAAGCTTTGTTTGTTTAAACTAGTGGCCAAAACTGGTTAAAGTAGTCGTACTAACCTGAAAAAGGTGAGACATTTGAATCATCATTTCGTAAAAGGTTATGAACACTATAAACAAT